ATGTACACACATACACTGATATTGACACAGTCTCCTAATAGACTTCCCTCTGTCTTCATAATAGCATCTCCTTTGGACAAGGGAAACGGCTGCCAGGTCCACTCAGTGCAAAGCAAACTGCCGAGAGACCAGCCTGAGGATTCCAGTTGGTTCTCCTATTTGTCAGGAAAATCAAAGGCAAGGCAGGTTTTTGTGTCTGGTTTATCTAGATAATGTAAGAAAAGCATACCATGTCTTTTAGGGTGCTCAGGAGCCAGCCTACTCTGGAAGCCTTGTTAACACTAATAGAGGGCTAGCCTAAAACCAAACAGAAAGTACCAGTCCTCTTGTGGACTCAGTACCAGGAATCTCTTCTGGAACCAGGGTGCCTAGGCAGTGGGAGTTGATGGAGTGAAGGGAAGCAGAACCCTGGCTTTTGGTGCACATAGCTGCAGTCTCTGGTGTGAGAAGATAGTTGCCAGGGCTGTCCACTCTCCCTGTAGGGGAGTTAGGTGAAGTTCCTAGTGAAGGTATAGCTTTGACTTCAAACACTGCTCTGTCCTTTTTTACCTTCTCAGGTCTGTTTTCTTCCCTAATCAGTTCCCAGTCTAATACCTGAGTGTGCCCTTCACAGACATCCAGTGGCCAGAGCCTAGCCTAGTGACTACTTCAAATGACATGAAAATCCTTTCTGAGGAACTGCCAGCAATGGCATTATGAACTACAATAGAGTCTGTCATGGCTTGTAGCCATACCTCATTTTTAGTCAGAAAACAGCGTAAGCCAGGAGATGGTGGCACACACCTTTAATCCCAGAGGCAGGCAGGTCTCTGTGAGTTCAAGGCCAGCCTGGTTTATAGAGCAAGTTCTAGGACAGCCAGGGTTACCCAAAGAAACTGTGTCTCAAAAAAACAAGGGAGAGAGGAAGAGCACACAGAGTAAGCAGCCTGGCACCTTCATCTTGCCATTTCCTTTTAAAAAGTAGGACACATTATTTCTGTTGGAAGTTGTATTAATCCAGAAGTTGAAGTAATCCAGAAGAAAATAGTGCTATTCAGACATGATGATCTGAAATGTATCTGGCTCTCCACAGACCTTCTAAAGAACAGTGCATCTCCGGATGGTAAACCCTGCTGTGCTGTCTAAGTGCTCAGCTACAGGTGACCCATGTATTTCATACCCAGCCATCTTCTCTCTGTACTTCCTTTCCCTACTCATCCCACTGTTGGAATAACAATTGCTTTGCCTTGCCTATGCCCTACCTCTGCATCCAGTCTTCTCCTGCTAGTCTTGGTAACCAGGAGCCAGAGCAAAGGCCTTGCTCATTCTGAGCTTCTGTTCCCCACGTCTTCAATAATGGCTGTAATCCAAATGATCAGGGCAGGACCTGAGTAGGGACAGCCTGTTCAGGCCCGTCACCATTACACATTCAAAGCTAGTGATGGGTCTCATTGAGTGGGTTTCATGTTGTCCCAGACTGGCCTATGTAGTAGAAAATGAAGTCCAGACTTTCCTGCCTCTGCCTCCCATGAGCTGGGATTACAGCCATGTACCCCATCACTCCCAGAAAGAAACATTATTGTTTAATCTGCCTGATATGCTGATCTAGCCACAATAATATTAGAACATGAAGGAAAAATGACCCCTGCTTTTACAAAGCTAACAATCCTGGGGAACCATTTGAACAGATATGAAACAATGAAAGCAGATTGCTGAATTCGGAAGGGTATCACAGAAATCATGAGAGGGAAAGAAACTGTATGAACTGGAGTAGTTAGAAAGTTCTCTCAGGTCTGGAGAGATGGCTCAGCAGTTAAGAATACCACCTGCTCTTCCAGAGGACCCAAGTTAAATTCCCAGCTCACAACTGTCTGTAACTTCAGTTCCAGGGGATCAGATACCCTCACACAGACACATATAAGCAAAACACTAATGTACATTTAAAATATTGTTTAAAAAATTTTATGGAAGTCCTCCCTTGGGGCAGTGGCTGCTGAAGAACAAATAGATGGAGTCTTGAGAGAGATAGGTCATATCAGACCTGAGGATGGTTAGTAGAGGCAAAAGTGGGCTTGGCTTGAGGGTGATGTTAAGAAGGCTCAGCTGAACTCGGGAGGCAGAGGTAGGTGGATCTCTGTGAGTTCGAGACCAGCCTGGTCTACAAGAGCTAGTTCCAGGATAGCCTCCAAAGCCACAGAGAAACTCTGTCTCGGGTTCCAGGAAACCCTCCAAAACCAAAGAGAAACCCTTTTCCGAAAAACCAAAAAAAAAAAAAAAAAAAAAAAAAAAAAAAAAAAAACAGAACAAGAAGGCTCAGCTGACTAGAGCAAGAGCAGTTATTCAGATTTGCTGAAAATAGACCATTTTTTGTAGAGCATTGGTGAGTGAGGATCACATGACCTAGTCGTGTGAGGTTGGATAAGCCATGAGCTTTGTAGGCTTTTAAATAAGCAAGTGAGGGGCTGGAGAGATGGCTCAGAGGTTAAGAACACTGGCTACCTGGGTTCAGTTCCCAGCACCCACATGGCAGCTCACAACTGTCTGTAACTCCAGTTCCAGGGGATCTGATATCTTCACACATGCAGGCAAAACACCAATGTACATAAAATAAGAATAAATAAATCATTTTAAAAAATAAGCAAGGGAAATACCTAGTAAAAGTAGAAGATGATCTGGCCACCGTGTGCAGATCATAGGTGTGAATCCAGAATGCTGCAGGTGAGCCATTGACCTGACCCAGGTTGGTGGCCCAGGCCAAAAAGGAAAGGTACTTTTGAGAAGTACCTCAGAGGAAGAGGTAGTGGCGCCTCCCAGTAACCTGAAAGTGGGTGATGAGAACAGCCAGGACCAATCCAGAGGTTCCTGTCTAACTTGTAAGAACTGTGGTATTGCTGGGGGGAAGGGGCAGAGAGAGGGTAAGGGAGCCCAGTTAAGGAGGTGAAGGTGAGGTCAGTGTGCACATCTGTGACTTGGAAGTGACAAGCCATTCATGTGAAAATACCTTCAAAGCTTCTGGAGGATAGGCCTCCAAAGAAGGTGATACCAGCCCTGACCTGTACAACTCTACCATCTCAGGCATTTTGTCCTCATGATGGGAATGGGTTCGCCATTGAGAGCAACACAGAAAAACATTGCTCCACCTGGAGCTGTGAGTCTTGGGGGTGGTCAGGGATCTGGTGTTTTCTGCATTAATTTGTTTGGGTTTCCTTTGTCTTTTTACTTATATATTTATAGACAGTGGCCAGTGGTCTGTGTAGCAGAGACTAGCCTTGCATTTGAGATTCTCTTGTCACAGACATATGTCATTTTCCTTGGGTTACTTACACATTTTTGGTTGTGGGCCTATCCTTAAATGGCTGAGCCATCTATCCAGCCCTTACCTATGTGTTTTCAAGCCTAATTCCATGATCTTTTGCCAAAGTGGTCAGAAAACAGCTGGTCAAGACAAAGGTCTTGAAGCTCAGTAGCCTTCCCATTCACATGAAGGCACTCTGGACTACCCGGGTAGTCTCCCATAGCTGTGTTCACACCGCTTTCTCTTCAGAAATGGGGACCTGGTACAGGCATTCCTGAGTATGGTGATGATGTCCTCTGGCCTCCACATACACAAAGACAGATAACTTTTTAAATTTTATTTATTTTGAGACAGTCTTACCATGTAACACTGAATGGACTGGAACTCTCTTTGTAGACCGTGCTGGCCTTGAACTCACAGATCACAGAGATCTTCACTTCTCCTTCCTAGATGCTAAGATTATAGGCATGTGCTACCATGCTCATGTATTTTATTGTATGTGTGGGAGTGTTTTGCTGTGTGTCCATGTACCATGTGCATGCAGTTCTCACAGAGACCAAAAGAGGGCATCGGATCCTCTGGGACTAGAATTATAGATGGTTGTGAGTCTCCATGTACATGTTGGGAATCAAACCCAGGGCCTCTGGAAGAGGCCAATGCTCTTAACTGCTGAGTCACCTTTCCAGCCCTTATATAAGATATTTTTTTAAGCAGGGGAAGCCCTTCATTCCATTCTCCTGTTTGGATTATCCTATGAAATAGCTGATGAGCTGGATGTGTTGTCACATCTCAGGAGGCCAGCACATGGGAGACTGAGGCAGGAGGGTTTTACATTGAAACCAGCCTGGTCAACTTAGCTAGACCCTACCTCCAAAAAAAATTATTCTTGGTGAGGCTGATGTTCAGCTGAGAGATAAAGTAGCAGCACTGGAAAGGAGCAGCCTCTGTTCTCGCTGGCTTGCCACTATGAGGTAACTCAGTAAGATGGGGGCAGGGAAGGGGTGGGGCAGGAGCAGCAGCCCATGTACAGTAAGAGGAGTTTGCCATCAAAAGGCAACAAGTCTCATTCGCTGCCCCGGATGCTGACCCTTCCCTGTGGAATTCTCCCCTCTGACCTCCAGATCATTAATCCCGAGGCTGCCAAATGACAGTCATCCATCACGCCTCCTGACGAGCATCCCAGCCTTCTGTGAAAGGACCTAGCCCCTCCCTCACTCCTGTCCCCGGGTGCTCATTAGTAGCCCTTCCTGCCCAGTGCCAGGTTTCCTAATCAAGTCCCTGGCTCCCTCTCACTTCCCCTCTGGGCCAGTGGGCGGAAGCTGCTCTGACCCTCCCTCTTTCAGAGGCCAGGGAGGGGGTGGAGTGATTAGTGAGTTGGGAAAGAATTGTTGAGTGGCTTTTTATTCCCTGGGAGACCTTTATGTCCAGTAGCTACTTTGACTTGGCTAGTCATAAGAGAAAAAGAAAACATTTTCTCCATCCTGTCTCGGGAGAGAAGGCAGACAGTCTGCATAGGAGCATGTTTTCCAGCTGTTCTCAGCACTAGCAAGGCTCTAGGCAGGTGGATGGTAGGCAGGGCCTGAGCAGAAATGGACTCCAAAGGCTCAGATCACACTTCTGAGTTTCACAAGCTTTGTGTTCAGCCTGCTAGTGGTGAGTATGCAGATTTGATGCCTTCTTCCTCAGCTTGACTGACACAGCCCTCTCTCTTGTTGGACAATCACAGGCACCCCTATCAACCGGATTCCCATAATGGCCAAACAGATCCTGGACCTGTATATGCTGTATAAACTGGTCACAGAAAAGGGGGGCTTGGTGGAAATCATCAACAAGAAGATCTGGCGGGAGATCACCAAAGGCCTGAACCTGCCCACGTCCATCACCAGCGCTGCCTTCACCCTCAGGACCCAGTGAGTGCCCGGGGCTAAGAAGGATGCCAAGCACACATCAGGATGCTTGGCCCTTAATTTGAGGAAGGGAAGAAAGGAGTCAAATTCCTTCCTCAGGCCTGAAAAGCTGCCCTCATCACTATTGTATGCCAATATTTTATTATTCTGTGTGATTTAAACTTCATTGTCAGTCCTGACAAATAGATACCTTCACATTTGTGTCAACTATAAAAACTAAACCCTGGGCTAATCAATTTAGCCAATGCTGTACTGGGCTAGTAGGCCTGAAATTCAGACTTGGGCTCCTTGTCCCTGCATTCTACACTCTTTCCGGAATATGACCACCCAAGTGGCTCCTCTTACCCTATATTCAGCCTCAGGTCAGTCCAGCCTCATTGGTTGCTGACCAGTTTTGTCACTGATTGACTAGTTAACAAGGGTTGACAGAAACAGTAAATCTGAAAGGAGCCATGTAGAATGAAAGCCAAAGTGGAAAGTATTCTTTTGTGATGTTCTAGTTGCTCTGTGAATAAACAGTTGGCATGTTTGTCAAGTATCATGCCCTGGCCTTATTGAAAGATGGTAAGGGCTGGGCAGCTGTGGTGGCACACGCCTTTAATCACAGCACTCAGGAGACAGAGGAAGGCTAATCTCTGTGAATTTGTGGCCAACCTGGTCTACAGAGCAAGTTCCAGGACAGCCAATGCTGTTACACAGAGAAACCCTGTCTCAAAGAAAAAAGAAAGAAAAAAAGAAAGGTGGGAAGGGTTTGGAGCCAGAAAGAAGGCTTGGTGGGTAAATGCTTGCTGCCACACCTGACTACCTGTGTTCAATCCCTAAGACCTAACCTGTCACTGTAGAAGAAGAGGACTGCTGCAAGTTGTTCTCTGACTTCCAGACCAGCATCATGCCATGCATGTGCTTATGCCCATAACATATGCACACACTTAACACACAAAATAAATAAATGTAAAAAAAAAAGAAAGGCTTTATCTATCGGGACTATTCTAGTAGAAATAGCTGTAATTAGAATGTCAGTGTTTGAGGGGGAAAGAATGGCTCCTTTGGACAGATGACACACACAAAGAAGGACAGCCCTCCTGGGTCCCATCCAATGGGAAGAATTGCTCCTGTTTGACCAGCCTGACTGAATCATAAGGAACCAAGAAAGCACTACAAAACACAGGCATCTAGGGGCATTCCAAAGGTATAGAGGCCAGTGGAGAAGATGTTAGCTAAAGCCTTAAGGTTCCCTTTTTGACTGATGCTTCACATTTAAGCAGTATATATACCTGAGTAGTGCTAGAGAAGCCTGAAGGGATGTGTCCAGTGAGCCCAGACTTTTAATTTCTGCTGTACATACCAAACCCTAGCTCTTCCCTGATCAAGGCTGCTTCCAAAGACACATCAACTTAAACTAGACAGTCTCTGGTACTGTGGTTTAGATTATTCTTTCTTCCTGCAGGTACATGAAGTATCTATATGCCTATGAGTGTGAGAAGAAAGCCTTGAGCTCCCCAGCTGAACTACAGGCAGCCATTGATGGCAACCGTCGGGAAGGTCGGAGGCCCAGCTATAGCTCTTCCCTCTTTGGCTATTCTCCTGCTGCTGCTGCTGCCGCCGCCGCTGCTGCCGCTGCTAGTGCTGCCACTGCTGGGGCCCCTGCCCTTTTATCACCCCCCAAGATCCGATTCTCCATCCTTGGGCTTGGCTCTAACAGTGGTACCAATGCCAGTAGCCCTCGGATATCCCCAGCATCTACGCTCAGGAAAGGTGAGCAAAGCCTTTGGAGGAGGGAAGGGATAGAGAAAAGAAGCCCATCCTTTGCTTAGGATGGGCATTGAGATAGAGGGATAAGTCATTGTGGACTAGTCTAGCTGTGTTTCTTCACAGGTGATGGAGTCCCAGTGACAACAGTACCTGTGCCAAATCGCCTGGCTGTGCCTGGGACTTTGGCAGGCCAGCAGGCTGGCAACCGGACAGGTACACTGGAACATTTACGGGAGCGTCTAGAATCAGGGGAGCCCCCTGAGAAGAAGGCATCAAGGTTGTCGGAGGAGGAGCAGCGCCTGGTGCAGCAGGCCTTCCAGCGCAACCTCTTTAGCATGGCGCGTCAGCTCCCCATGAAGATGAGAATCAACGGCAGGGGTAAGCATTAATGTGTAACTCCATCTTTCCTTCATAATGTCTGCCACACCCCCGCTCCACCCAAGGCCCTGAGGCTGAGTGGCTCTAGGTACATCCTGACCTCCTGACCTAGGAAACATCCTCTTCAACTATCCTTCCCACTGCCCTAGAAGACTCTAGAGGCCAGAAGAGAGCCACTGGAGGTTCCGTGCCTGCCAAAATCTCACCACCCTGGTGTTTTCTAGATTAGAGACACTTCAGGCAGTGAAGTCCTTGTTCTCTAACAAGAAGGAAAGTAATTATTCATGGAGGAACAGATGCTGTGTTCCCCCAACCCTTCCTAACCTTTTGCTCTGTCTAAATGACAGGGTTTGCATCCATCCCATCCACCTTCCCAGACGTAGGCTGCGGTCAGGTCTGTTATTCCTGAGAAATAACGAGGCCACCAGTGGCCTCGGGAATAAGAAAAGAAGTAGGCAGTACAAGTGTAGCAGTGTGTTTGACAGTTTTCCCCTTACCCCTCCCCATTTTTCTAGTTTCCCACCTTCTCTTCCTAAAACACACGTTCCATTTCCCTCATTCTTCTCCCTGCTGTCTCATTCAAGCCCCCTTTCTATGCCATTGTTGCTCTTGCTCTCTATCAAAGCAAATATGGGCAGTTGTATGCTGGGAAGGGAGGCAGGTGTGAAAGGAGCCGTTGAGATTCTCAGGCATCCCTCCTGGATGATGGGCAGAAGGAACCATTTAGAGGCCAGTGGAAAAGGCAACTCACATGGAACAATGTTTGACTCTGTGGAGAGAGAAGGCAGAGGTCAGTGAGCCAGGCAGAAGCCCTGTGTGCCAGCTGCCCCACAGGGCAGGGAGGGCCCGGTGATGGACACAAAAGATCCTTTTCCAGAGATCCTTACAGTTCAGATGCACCAGGGGCAGGAGGAGGCCAAGACTGATTTCTGGAACTGATATATATAGTGGGTACTCAATTAGGGTTAGATGGCCTGTTGTCCCTTCACTCTAAGAGTTCAGAAATAACTTGACAGGAAGTTGATGAGCCTGACTCTACTGCCAGACCTATGATGAGAGGTAATAGAGACAGAGGTTGTAGAGAGTGACCACAGACCACTTGGCTAAGCAGCACCAGAGGACATCAGGAAGCATGACCAGGTCCACTGTCTCTCTTGATTCCACAGAAGACAGAGCAGAGACTTCAGCTGCAGCACTGAACTTGACTACAAGCAGCATTGGGAGCATCAATATGTCTGTGGATATTGATGGCACCACCTATACAGGTAGGACCCTGACGCTATGGGGAGACCCATGCTGGCTGCCGGTCCAGTGCAGCTTCCCAGCTTGCCCTATCTGGCTCCTTCAGATGCCTTGGGGTATGCGTACGTGTTGGGGAGAGGGTGTCTTTTTTTCACTGACTTAAGATTACTAAGATACAGAGGTCCTGGACTGTAGGTGCACAGATTGATAGGATGACCAGTCTTCTACAGTGACAGGAACCCTTCCAGTCAATGGCTGGTTAGTTGAAGATGTCATTTCGTATGATAGTTTATTTGTCAACAGCCTTACACACACATTTCAGCATACATTATAAGCTAGATCACCATTTACCATGCACAGTCTTCCAGAGAAGACTCCTTTCCCTGACTTCAAAAGACTCATTAAATTTTTTGTTGTTGTTGTTTTTGGTTTTGTTTTTGGGGGGGTGGGAGCATGTTGAGACAGGGATTCTCTGTGTAGCCCTGGCTATGTAGCCCTGGCTGTCCCTAGAACTTACTCTGTAGATGAGGCTGGCCTCAAACTCAGAGATCCTCCTGCTTCTGCCTCCTGAGTGCTAGGATTAAAGGCTTGCACTGCCACACCCAGCTCCATGTCTTTTTATATATATTTTATTATTTGTGTGCATGAGTGTTTCATCTGTCTGCATGTATTTCTGCATGTGGGTGCTGGGAATCCAACCCAACTCCTCTGGGACAGAAGTCACTGCTCTTAACTGCTGATCTATCACTCCAATCCCATCCCCTATCTTTTTTAAATGAAGCAAGGACTATGACACGAGCATAGCTAGGTGCAGCAACACATACCTGCAGTTCCAGCACTCAGGAAGCTAAGGCTATCACATCATGAGTTCAAAGCCAGACTATACTACAGACTGAGATCCTGTCAAAAATAAATAAAATACACCAGCAGTGAATCTGAGTGCTCTTGACCCCTGGGGGTATTGCCATTTTTTCAGTTGGATCTCCCTAACCTAATAGCCTACAGTATTTTGGTGGGTAGTTGGATTTGCATCTGTAACTAACAGGTTTTTCAAAGGTGTTCAACATAGAGCTTACATAGACCCCCCATTTGTTTGGAGACATACAAGCTCAGGCTGGTGACATCTGTCTGTTTTTATCAGGGCATGAGGTTTGCTGGCTACCTGGTGACATCCACAGGCAGACCAGTAAAACCTTGCATTCTAACCAGCATATTTCCCTAGGATAACCCCTGGCCACCAGCCACAGCTCTAGCAGCCAGGGAAGGATGGGGTTCCTAGAAGCAGCCATGCCACTGTGGCTTGCCAGTGTCTTGTGCTGTCCTGGTGCCGTGTGCTCATGATGTGGCTTGGGTTGAGTCCTGAAGAGAACAGAAACTGAGAGGTGTGGCTAGATCTCAACACCCTCTTGTCATCTTCCTAGGAGGAAGAAGTGGGGAACTTTCTCCTTTGCTCTCAGAATAGGGAGGGTCAGGAGTTGAGGCTCCTAACACTCTGACAATGGGGCCACCTGTCCTGACACTGGCTTTCTCAGTCGGGATGTGGTGTCCAGGAACTTAAGAGTGTTTCTGAGACTCAAGGTCACTATCCTCCGTTACCTGCCTTCGACCTGCTGCTGCTCCTCACACCTGTGCTTGCTGCCACTCCTAAGCCAGTTCCTCTGCAGGCCTCCTAGGACTTGAGCATACTCATCCTCTGACCTCCCAGAGAGCATCCTGGATTCCAGATGTTTTCATGTCCTTCTGCTTTAAACTTTCAGGGCCTCCAAATGAGTTCCTATAGCTATACAAGACCCCTCCGACCTCCTTAACCCCTTACTCTACTGTTGCCTAAAGTGTTTACACTTCTATCAGCCCCAATGGGGTACTCTCTCTTGCTGCTGTGTCTCGGGTGCCCTGGCTACCATCTCTTCAGTTTGCTGCTTTTTCTCTTTCAAGCAATTTTGACACACACTTTCCACCAAAACCTTTTCTAGGCTGCACTTCTGCTCCTCTGTCCACAACCTTTACGATGTCCCCAACAGCAGAGCTACAGCAGTCTCAGAACATTTATGTCATTCTAGCAAAGATACTGGTTACATGCCTGTCCTTCAGCAGCATGTTCTTGATGGGCAGGACAATTGTCTGAGCTTCCACTGACATCTGGCTTGGTAAGAAAATGGAGCACACAGGGTTAAGCCAGCAGTCATGCCTTGTTTAATTGAACTGAGCTAATCTCTCCTCCTGAGCCCATACTGCTTCTCCTCCCACCCCAGGTGTGCTGTTTGCCCAGAAACCAGTGGTCCACCTCATTGCAGGCTCTGCTCCCCAGAGCATTGGCAGCACCAGCAGCAGCAGCAGCTCTCACTGCTCACCAAGTCCTACCTCATCCCGGGGCACCCCCAGTGCAGAGCCCTCCACCAGCTGGTCCCTCTGATGAGCAGCACCCAGCACCCACTCCCTGCTCTCCTGCAGAGAGTAAGGGAGATCGATGCACAAAATTTACCTCATCTCATGGAGCTCACATCAAACACCATCTGGCCAGATGTTGAATTTGGAAGTGTCCATCTGGCCAGGCTCCATTCAGGTTCTGCTGTACTCTGGGGACAAGGAGAGACTTGAGGGGGGCAGGGCAGAGCAGCGTTGTCCAATCAGGGATTGTCCTGGAGAACTGGGTGGGGCATCTGGGCATCCAGCTTCCCAAGGGTTCCCAACCACCTCCCATCCCAGAGCAGTGTATCGACAATCTGTAAGGCGACGTGGGGCTGAAGGCTTTCCATTTCCCTTCCCCTTAATTTATTTCCCTTCTGCTGCCTTCTGCCTTCACCTCAGGATCACCAGTCTCTTAGTCTGCCCAGTCCCCCAGTGTTTAAATCCCATTTGGGGCTCTAGGAGTCAGGAGCTTGTCTTCCTTGCTCTTGTCTACTGAGCATGGGATGGGGATGGGCCTTCCCAGTCCTCCTTGCTTACTGCTTGATTCTTTGGACATGAGCCTCTCAATCCACGTCTTAACTTCTCTCCTCAGGGCCCTGGAATATCCCCTTTGTTATTCTAAGAAATAAATGTGTGAGGGCAGGCTTCAGGTTCAAGGCCTCTGCACATGAAAAGGAGGAAGAGCTCATGGTGCCCGGGCCCTGGTACTTACCCAACAAGACTCCATTCTAATCCCCAAACTGCAGCTCCCTGCCTGCCCAAGTTGGCCAGCTCTCCCAAGATACTACTTGTCCCTGGCCCCTACTGTCGTCTCTTGGGGCCATTTCAGCCCCACCAGCCCCAGACATGCTGGTGTCAGGCTCACTGAAATACCTCAGATTTGTAATTGTTGCTATTTGATTCTTCAGGAAGTATTTGCATCTCTGTAATCTTTTTTATATGTGTTTTGCTGACTTTAATTTTTTTAATTTTTATTGTTGCTGTTGTAGCACCAAAGAAATGAAAGCAGATCACCCCAGCCAGGTGCAGTTTGCAGCCAGCCTCCCTCCAACCTGCCCATGCTCTGGCCAGGAGGTGGAGCAGGCAGGGGTGACTCAGGGATCACCACAGCGGGAGGATGGGATGGAGGGTCCCATGCTTGCTGGTGGGTCCTGAAACCACACTGGTTCTTTCTGCCCCTGCCCCAGCTGACAGAGGAGGGCAGGGTATCTTTCTGCCCTTGGAGCCCTTGCCTTGGGATATAGGCAAATGGCTGTGGGCCCTGCCTGAGGCTGAGCCCCAGGGACAAGAAGATGCTAAGAGAGCTCTGTCTCCTCCTGGCATGTAGCTGGAACAGGCCACTGTGGTAGAGAAAGGGTGGTCTTTACCCAGGTCTCTCATCCCAGTGTGCTCTACTCTGTTACCTAAAGCATCACCCACTGGGACTGCTTGGGTTGTGGCAGTGTAGACCACAGCATGGCTCAGCAGTCCTGTCAAGGACAAGAAAGGGAAACCGAAAGCGTGTGCACAAATATACCTCAGCCTGGCGAGCGCCCTCACTGCTTACTTCTGACTCCTCTCCCTGCCCCAGGACACACACAGTAACTCACACATACACACACACACACACACACACACACACACACACACACACACACACACACACACACACACCCATAGCTCTTAGACTGGGGTCTGACCCTTGTCTGGCCTCAGAAGCCTTACCCACTAGGCACAAGCAGGGTTGGGCAGAGGACATCTGGGGTCTGGCATTGTGAGAAGCCTATTTGGCCAGTGTGTCTCAGGATTTAGTTATGAAAGATAGACCCTTCCTGTCTGGGGGGATGGGGAGGGAGAGACAGGGACAATGCAGGTTTTTCTGGTCATGGGATCCTCTTTCTCTTTCCCCAGGCAGCTTGTCCACCTGTCCCTCTCCATACCCCTCACTGCCCTCAAGCCAGCAGCAGGCTCCTAGCCAGAAAATGCAAGAGCTGGGTACCTGTGTGTCCCCAGCATTAGGGCTCTGGCCCAAATGGAGCTTCCCTTGCAGGCATAGTCCTGAAGGTCACGTGGCAGAACAGTATCTCCCTCCCTTCCATGTCTTGTATGTATTCTAACCAGAAAAAAAAAAAAAAATGTGATAGCACATGGTAGCCTAGGCCGTGAATAAATACCTCAGACGTCCTCTCACAGCAAGTGTCTGTATATGTTGTGGTTATTTTCTGTCTTACATGTTCTTGAATGTTTATATTTCAATAAAGCTCTACCTCTTCACATGAGTAGGTCTGGGTTTCTTTCACTGCCTTGCACTTGACAAAGGTCCTTTAGAGTGAAAAAGGACTTCATGAACTGTGCCTCAGGTCCCCAGCTCCTCCTGAACCTGCTTCCCCGAAGGGCTGGACCTCCATTTTCCATTTCTCTGCTGTGCCATCAGAATCTCCTGGCATTATCAGTCACCAAACTGACAGCAGTGATGTGTTAGTATCTGACTGGCAGGGGGACCACCTCCGTGGCTTAGCAGACCCTTGCTGAGTGAGCTCTCACTGGGTCTGATTCTAAAGAGATGTGTCTGAGCCCTGGAAGGGCCTCAGGCTAAGGATTTGTGTGTGTCATCGTCATCTGCATTTTAGAGCATGTGTTCTAACTAGGGCATGGACTTGGAAGGGTGACCTAGAACCAGATGTCAGGCTGGGTGCAGGGGCAGAAACTGCATGGGTTGGTACTGCCACCTCCATCCAGGACTAAAGCAGCTCACGGGGTCGTTCACGGTCCGTGAACAACCTCTTTCACTGCACTCAGAGGTACTAGGACCTTAGGAGCAGAGTCAGGCATCTCACTAGCCAGTGTGACAGCAGTACACCTCTTTACTGTCACACTGCACAGGGATCTTAGGTTTCAAGCCATCCTGAGATACATAGCCGGTCCTGTACCCTGATAAAAGAAAAACCACTAGCAAGGTGGCTCAGCCAGTAAGATGTTTGCTACTGAGCCTGACCTGAGTTAGATCTCAGGAACCCAAATGGTAGAAGGGGAAACTGACTCCTGTAATGTGGTTCTCTGACCTCCGCACAAACTTTTCTTAAAATGGGAGAGAGCCTGGTGTGATGGTATGTACCTCTGTAACCCCAGCACCTGGAAGACCTGCCAGGTAAAAGGTCTTGTCCCACAGCTGATAGCTAGTTTGATCTGGCAGGAGAGTGCTGCCCCCAAAGTTGTCCTCTGACCCACGGCACATGTGCACACAAAACCCATATAAGATTACTTGTTTATTTTTGGAAACAGGGTTTCTTTGTGTAGCCCAGGCTGCCCGGGAACTCACTCTGTAGATCAGGCTGGCACTGGACTCAGAGATCCACCTGTCTCTGCCTCCTCAGTGCTGAGTTTAAAGGCTTGGGACACCGCTAACCAGCCAGTTTTTGTTTTGTTTTTTGTTTGGTTTTTGTTATTGTTGTTGTTGTTGTTTTGTCTTCTTTAAAAGTGGCACATCCTAATCCCAGCGTTTAAGAAGCAGAGGCCTGTCTGGTTGAGACATACTGAGCTTTTTGGGGTTTTTTTTGCTGTTGTTGTTTTGTTTTTCAAGACAGTGTTTCTCTGTGTAGCAGTCCTGGCTGTCCTGGAACTCATTGTAGACCAAGCTGGCTTCGAACTCAGTGAGATATACCTGCCTCTGCCTCCCAAGTGCTGGGATTAAAGGCATGTGCCACCACCACCCGGCTATGACATAGTGAGTTCTAACACTAGCAAGCCTAGAACTCACTATGTCTCAGCTGGGTGGTGATGCCATGTATGACAATAGGCACAATAACAAAAAAGATGGATCAAAGTCATTGTTGGCTACTGTATTAGGTTCTCTAAGGGAACAAAACTGATAGAATGAATATGTATGTATGTTTGTATGTATGTATATGGAAGTTATTAAGAGTGGCATATGGGCTGTGATCTGAGTAGTCCAGTGGTTCTCAACCTGTGGGTCAAGACCCCTTTGGGGGTCAAAAGACCTTTTCACAGGGGTTGCCTAGGACCATCAGAAAACTCAGGCATTAACATTATAATTCATAACAGTAGCAAAATTACAGTTACAAAGAAGCAGTGAAAACAATTTTATGGTTGGGGGTCATTACAACATGAGGAACTCTATAGAAGGGTTGCAGCATTAGGAAGGTTGAGAACCACTGAAGTAGTTCAACAGTGGTCAAAGATCCAGAAGTTGTTCAGTCTGCAAGATTGGTGCTGGAGTCTCAGGGATGTCCTAGAGAGCTGGCTGTTTCAGCAGTAGCTGAGAAATTTACATCCTGATCCATAGACAGGAGAGAGAGAGACAGACAGAGGCTGACTCTTAGCCTAGTGTGGGCTTTTGAAACCTTAAAGCCACCCCACCAGTGACACACCTATTCCACAAGACCACACCTCTCAATCCTGGGGACTAGGCATGCAAATATAGAATGGGGAGTATTCTCATTCAAACCACAACAGAGATGGAGATAGATGAACTGAGGCTCCTTTTCACTCAGGGTGAAAAGTCTGAGGACCACACCACGATACCGCAGTTCCTTCTGTTTCAGGATGCCAGAGAAAACAAGAGGAAATAGAAGCCTTCAGAAAAGGCAGAAAATTTCAAATGTAACACCCTGCCCATTCACATGCACGCAGGCGCACGCAGGCGCGTGCACGCGCACACACACACACACACACACACACACACACACACACACACACACACACACACACTCATACACACACTTCATCAAACTGTAAAATCGGAAGACAAATGACTAGAGAGAAGGCTTCGGTATTAGGAGCACCTTCTCTCAAGTGACCTGGATTTGATTCCTATCCCCTTCAGGGTAGCTCACACCATTTGTAATTCCAGTTCTAAGGGATCCAGTGCCCTCTTCTGGCCTCCTAGGGCATGAGGCATACATGCATATATGTAAGCAAAATACTCGTACACAGAAAAAAAAAATCTTAAAACTAAAATAAAGCCAGATGTGGTGGCACATACCTTTAATCCCAGTACTCAGAAAGCAGGCAGATATCTGTGAAATAGAGTCCAGCCTGGTCTACATAGCAAGTTCCAGGCCAGCCACTATATAATGTGACTCTTTTTCCAAAAACAAGAAAGGACAAACTGGAGGAAGGTACTTGCAAAGGAATAGTAGTGAGATGGACTGCTGAATGCTTATTCATTTCTAAGACAAAAGCCAAAATAAGGGCAGGAAGCCAGGCAGTGGTGGCACATGCCTTGAATCCCAGCACTTGAGAGGCACAGGCAGGCGGATCTCTGTGAGTTGGAGGCCAATCTGTTCTACAAGAGCTAGTTCCAGGACAGTCTCAAAAGCCACAGAGAAACCCTGCTTCAACCCCCCCCCCAAAAAAAAAAAGAAGGGCAGGAAATCTGGGTGTGGAGACTCAGGCTCTCCAGCACTTGTGAAGTAGAGACAGGACTATCAGAAGTTTAAGGAAAGCACTGGCTACATAAGGAGTCAGAGGCTTCCTCAGCTACATGGGACTGAGTCTCAAGAAAAAGGAGGTAGGAGCCAAAAGCAAGTGTGTTTCAGAAGATAAAGATGGAGCTGGGAATGTAGCTCAGTGGTGGAGCTTATGCTTGGCACTCAGAAGGCCCTGGGTTCAGTCAGTCCTCAGAAGACAGTACAGCCCAACCTCACACTAATGGCACAGCTCTGAGGTTGCACAGCAATACCAGGCCCTAACAAGTATGTGTGATGGGGACTCCCTGCTGGGGGGGGTGGTGGGGAGATGGTTTGATAGATGTGGAAACCAGGGCTTTGAAAATTCACTTCTGGGTGTATGCCATGGAAATGAGCACCATTGAACCTGGTGTGGGCTCGGGTTTCTTCTCAGGCTTTTTACATGTATTAACTCCTTTAATTCCTGTGGTGGCTTAAATGAGAATGACCCCATAAACTCATGATTTTGAATACTTGATCCCCAGTTGGTGGAAATATTTGGGAAGGATTAAGGGATCTGGCCATTTTGGAGGGATGTGACACTGGGGGTGGGCTTTGAGGTTTTGAAAAGCCCACACCACCCTACTTAGCTCTCTTTTTTTCTAACTCCTTATGGATCAGGTGTAAGTCCTCAGCTGCTACTCCAGCACTGTGCCTGCCTCCCTGCTGCCTGCTGCCATGTTCCCACTATGATGAGCATGGCATGGATTCACCCTCTGCAACCATGAGCCCCAATAAAATAAGTTGCCTTGGCCATGGTGTCTCTTCCTAGCAATAGAAAGGTAACTAATACAGTCCTCTACCTATTTATGAGGTTAGACTAACCATTTTTACTCATTTTACAGATGAAGAAGTAGAGAGGTTGAACAACTAGGCCACATAGTAAGCAGGGCTTGGATCATCTGTAGCCACTGTGCCGAGCACTGTGCACATTGCTCATGGTGTGCAGTCTGTAAAACACTTGCTGCTCATTGTGCACATGAAATTCCTGAGCAGAAATGCACTTGAGGAACCAAAGAGCAATCACTGGACTCCAAAGTTGCCCTTTGGAGAAGGGAAAGGTATCTGAGTTGGGGAGGCAGAGGATTCAGGGGTGTTTGTCAGCAGGTCTCTTCTATACCCTGCTGTGCCCATCCAGGGACCACCTAGAGGCTCTAGCATCCTGAAGAGAAAGCCTTTGCTGCTGTCCATAGCTGGCCTCCTTTCCTCTGTTGGACTTCCCCAGAGCCAGTGGAAGCAGAGCATGGGTGGGGTCCCTGATCACCTGGCACAAAGGGTGGGAATCAGAGCTGGAGGGAAGGAACTGGTCAAGAATGGTCAGAATAGAAAGGGTAGAGTGTGGATGCTGAGCTTGGGGAAGTACAAACCCAGACAGTGGCTAAGAGAGGTGAAGGACAAGGACCCAGGCATAGTGGCATATGTCTGTAGTGTCAGAGGTTGAAGGGCAGATGCAGGAGCATCATTTAAGACCAGCCCAGGCTACAAAACAAGGCCCATCTCAAAAGACCAGAGACCAAGATGGTGAGGGGTGGGCAGTTTTAACAAGCTAGTGGCCTTCCCCACATTGGAGCCACTGAGACAAACAGGAGCTGAGGTTGTGAGAAAGCGAGAAATTTGGGGATGGGGTGAGGTGACTGCGAGGGAGGGAGTTAGTTGAATGCAGCATAGACCAGAATAGCAAAGAGGAGAGGGGTTTATCTGGGCCTCTCAGGTATGTGGAGAAGCCCAGACAGCTGGCCCCACACTGGCCTCTAGAAGAACCCAGAACCGGGAATGTTTTGTCTACAGATGGTACCCCTCTCCTGCTAAAG